TTTTGTTTTCCTAGAACAGAATGCAGTGATTGTTGTTTATTAGCTTTTGGTCCCCTTTGACGTGCAGGGGAAATCGAGACGAATAGATCTAGAGCGGCATTATGGACATTTGTGTTTAATTCGTTTCATATTGGTTATCCTAGCTACATGTATATCAGATATCTGTCCGAGTTCTAAGCTTATCGATACATTTTTAGCTCTACTGGTCAGAGACCAGAAGAGCTTATGCGATAGTAAGTTGTCCGTCCGTCTGTCTGTCTGTAAACAATTTTTTAAAATGCTACTTCTCCTACAGTTTTGGTCTGATTTCAATATAACTTGGCACACAAGTAGACTACACTAAGATACATAATTCTGTATATCGGTTTTTGATTTCGATGAACGGTGTTGCCATGGTTACTAAAAATAGAAATTTCTGTGAAATACATTCAAAATGCTACTCTTCCTAGAGTTTTGGTCTGATTTCAGTATAACTTGGCACACAAGTAAATTACACTAAGATACATAATTCTGTTTGTCGGTTTTTGATTTCGATGAACGGTGTTGCCATGGTTTCTAAAAATAGAAATTTCTTTGAAATACATTCAAAATGCTACTCCTCCTACAGTTTTGGCCTGATTTCAATATAATTTTACACACAATTAGATTACACTGAGATGCATAATTCATTTTTTTTTTTTGATTTTGGTGAAGTGTTGCCATGGTTACAAAAATTGAATTTCTTTGATATACTTTCAAAACATTACTTTGCCTACAGTTTGGTCTAATTTTAATATAACATGGCATGCAAGTAGACTACACTGAGATACATGATTGTCTTAATTGTTTTTTTTTTAATTTTGACGAATAATGTTGCCATGGTAACTAAAATCGAAATTTCTCTAAACTTCTTTTAAATGGCTACTCTTTCTACAGTTTTAGTCTGATTGCAATTCATCTTGCCACAAAAAGAGAGTAAAACAAGGATTACTATTTATTTATTGGTGTTGCAAAGTTTCAAGTCCAAGTGCTACTTTTCTCTTCCTTTATTGTTATAAGTACAAACCAGTAGAGCTACAGTCTCAACAGAGACAGAGGTTAAAAATATAATTAAAATACAACTATTATAGAAGTGAAATTTATTTTATATGAAATACATTAATTATGTAGAGAAACAAATGTAACCCTTATTAAAGGCTTAACGTTACGGTGTAAAAGTTCAGAGTTGATTAGGCCTAGTTCCTTGACACACTTCGTTAAGCCTTTACCTATCTTTTTGTGTTGCCTGCAGAGGAGCGACACTTAGGGATCACTTTGCCCGGCGTCTCTCTGTCTGTCAGTCCGTCCGTCTGTAACTTATATCTTGAGAACTGTTAAAGGTAAGGATTTGATATTATGCTCGTTTATTGCTCGGAAGAAGAGCTTTTGCAAAATACCAGGTTTACCGACTTGGTGACCTTTAAACTTGACCTTTGACCTATTTTCAAAATACACCATAGTGCCGATATCTATTAGGCTTACATATTCTTTGACTTTTTAGAGGTAAGTTTATGCTACTTGGAAGGTGCATTGTTTGTAGTAATACATGTTGAAAAATATCAGCATTACAGTCTACCTGACCTTGACCTTTTTCCAAGAATTCTCTGAACAGCGGTTATATCATATGAATTTTGAGAAGTGTTGCTTTGTTAACTAGCATTTATAAACATGCTTATAACCTACTCGCATTTATTCTCAAATCTATTTAATAAATAACTTTAAATAACCACACAAACTGAAATTTAAGAAATTTAAATGCATTCTGTTAGCAATCGGAAATCACTCGGCCTCTTTCGTCAACCACGATAAAATCTCGGTTTTTGTCGACTTGACGGAAAAGGCCGAGTGATGTTCTCGACTTGAAGGAAAACTCCATGTGATTTTCCGATTGCTCTATCAGTTGTCTTTTAAAATTAAACGGGATCAGTATACCGACGTTTGATAGTGAATCTCGGGAATGGTTGAAAAATTGCTTTGATAATTTTTTTCCTCAAATGGCCCTCTTGCGCACCAACTAATTTATCGAAACCAATTGCGCACCTTTTGGGTGCTGATATATGGTTGGCGGTCAACGAGGTTGGAACAGAGATGATGACCCTGTCTCTCAGACGATATCAAGCAAGATGTCTAACATGTTGCCTTGTAGTCACTTAGTGCTTTGGCATCGTATCCGGTCCATCACACTTCCGGTTGCCACAATTTTACGGTACAATCAGTCGTGTGGTTTCTATTAAATGTCGCGTTTACCCACAGAAGAATTTTTACGTACCTTCTTAATCTAGTCAAAGTACTTTTCAAACAATAAAAAAAAATTTTTTTTGAATAATCTTTAAATAAACATCTCCAAGGAAACACGTTGCAGACACTATACCAACTGCCCTACACCGCTCTTCTGTCTCTTCTATGGTCAAACGCTGCATACCCAGTCATGTTTTTTCCTGAGTTTTGCAAATCTAAAGAACACAAGTTTCAAAGTAAAAAAAAATGGAAATTAATTTCTCTTAAGCCTGTGAGCACGATTTTCATTCAGTTCTATGAACTGTCCGTTTGGATAGTTGTAGTTGCCAGATTTAGCTCTGCCTCACAAGCTTAGCTTAGCTTACTTTCTTGCTTGCTTGGGTGCTGAAAACCAGATTTGTACATGTGGTACATTCAGTAAACGTAACAGTGCGGGCTCAATCAAGCTATGGATTTAAGCATCTATGTAATTTTTCTATATATAGTATATTTTGTGTTCGTTGCTTATAAGAAAAGACTTGTGACAATGGGAGTTTTGAGTTTTATCACTGTTTTTTATCTCCTTATTTCACCCAACATGGCGTTCCACTTTATGTCTCTCTTTAAGGTCAGACGATACGTTCCTCAAATATCTGTTTTGTATATCTTTGTATTGTATGAAAAATATTCCAAATTTTAATTACCTTCTGATTTCTAAACTTGTTTCAAATTGTCTTTAAAAAATTGAAACCCTAAAAAATGTGATATTGGCAAATTAAGTTCTTTCCAAAAGGATTTTATAGGAAACAACATCCTCTGGTATCTTGCACAAATTCCTGGTAAGGTACCTCAATTTTTTGCGAGTAAACATGTTAAAGTAGCAATACTTCAATGACAAATTCTTAGAAAAAAATAATATATTATTGAGGAACGTATCGTCTTTCCTAAAATACGTTTTCCTAGAACGGACTGAATACATATAGTTTCTGTTGTGGGTACATCTTGTATTTCATGTTCATTTCATTTAATTGTTTGCAAATATATTTAAAATGCCCACACAATTCTCAATTGTTATATGAACAATAGGGATTTTCTCAGTCGCACTCCGCATGTCGTGTAAACGTTTAATTCGACATTAAGTGACTCCGGCCACACACCCGCCTGGTATTTAGCTCGCTTGGTAAGTCATGCGTGTCACTTTACATACCACAAACAGTGACATGCTGATTTAATCTAATGAATGATCATTGAACAATTCGTCTTCCCTCGGGTGTGGTAGAAATGGACAATGCCCCACTTTCCTGTAAGTAACAATACACAGATATAAACCGTTTTTGATCAGTTTAACTAACAGTATATAGATTTCGAAATAATGGATATTTTTTAAAGAAGAAAAATTTATCTGAATTCATAGACATGTATTTTCTTTTCTCTTAACGAACTATCTTGCCCATACCGTGTTTCCTTTAAATGTACCTGTAAGTGCATGCATTACTTGACTGCACTTAGAACGCATTTTCATTTGTGCTGTGAGGGTCAGATTACTTTCTATATGAGTGTATTATAAAGAGTACACTTCCTTATTAAATGCTGGTTTTGTTTCGGGTTGACAATATATATAAAGCAGGCGTGGTTTCCAACAAACATGTGCTCCACGTAACCTTTGTAATCGACTGGTCGACAAACATGTATTCCCTGTACATTTAACTTAATTGCAATATGTATCTGTACGTAATGGAAACGCACTTTGCTCGGTAAAATATTTTTTTGTGAATTTACGTTTTTCTAACATAATTAGAGATAAATTATTCAAGGCTGATACCTGTCAGATTTGAAAGTTATATACACGTACGAAATGTAGTATTAATGTACACAGGTAGAGTTACCTAAGCAGACGGTGATTCTTCTTAAATATTTGCATGCTAATTTACTTATAAAAGTTTATCTAAACCAATTCTTTATACTTCAATATAATCGCCAAACCTTAAAGTATTAAATGTGACATTAGCGGGAGAAGATTGAGATATGTATCAAAAAATTATTTAGGAGATATACAGCATCCAAGATTTAGCCTTCCTGACTCACTATGGCCCCGTATTACGTAACATATGATCTAAATAGTTGCAGGTTGTTAAGTTAAAGCATTTTTCACCAAAGATTCCTGTATAATATGAAATATATAAAAGAAGAAGGTAAAGAGGGTGCGATGGATGGATAAAAAGTTCATTGAATTTAAGGGGGTGATCACTGAGGGGGAAAAGTCTGATCTCATAGGAATTGGGGGGAGGGGATATAGGCTTTTTGCCTGTGTGTTCCCTGAATGCCTACATTCTTACAGTAAGGGGTATTATGTTGTTCAAACATTTATTTTAAAAGGGAATTCAAAATCTTTAATGATTTTAAATTTAAAATGATTAAGCAAAATATTTTAACGTTAATTATTTAACATGTTACTTTATGGGACTTTTTATAAATTTTTACTCCCGATGCCATATATAGACGTGTAAATGTTAGGCCAATTAAATTTTCCCTCTATTCTTCTACCCCTTAATGCTTCTTTGAAGTCATATGTTGGCATTTAGGTATACAAATATATTTTTGCCTTGAAGGGAATAACAAACTACTTCAATGTAAAAACATGGGTATAATATTTTTGGGATAGTAATCATAACGACATGAGTAATCATCAGGCGTGTTTTGTTTATATACATGTACACAATCAGTTTCTCTCCTACCCTCTAATAATGACTTCTTTTGCTTTTCAGAAAGGTGACATTTTGGTCAGTCGCAATGTTATGCAGAAAGCCGTCCAACTATTTCCATGAACGTAAAACGATGTAAGTACACACCCACCACCCACACACACACACACACACACACACATATTTTAAAAGGAAAAAAAAAATCTTAAAATCATGTCGTATCAGATATTATATATTGAAAAGTAAACTTGAACCATTATTTAGTACACATTTGTGAATAAACTTTAAAAATATGGAAAAGAAGTGTTTTCATCTTGTAGCTTCATCTTTTTTTTTTTTAGATTCGGCATGTATTGCTGCAAGCTTCTTTGCAACCGTTGTAGCTTTCGGTACCCTTATGACGGTGAATCAGAGATTTGGACCCGATCATCTAAAACCTATGAAGATTTTGAAGGTTATTATACAAAGCAATAAGGTATCACCAAACGACGTTATAGAACAAAATTACTTCCGAGATCCGCCTCCAAAAAAGATAGAAATCAATATGACTCAAACATCAGCACGAGGTGCGATCTCAAACACAGCATTATCAATAAATAAGAAAACAGTTCTGTCTCCCAAATCTTTCCCAGCTTTAACTTCGAAAACCAGTATCTCACCTGTGACAAGTACTAAAACTGCCTTCATGGGAGTTTCAAAGCCGTCTTCCATTCCTAAAAGTACATTGACCACTGCCAAGAGTACAATGACCACTACCAAAAGTACAGTGATTACTACCAAGATTACAGTGACTATACCAGTGACCAAGACATCGATCTCACCTACAACGCATGCGCCGTCCAATTTTTATGTGTGCCCTACGTTTATGGGAAGAATTGGAAATAATTTATTTCAGTTTGCCTCTGGGTTTGGCATTGCCGCCTCTAAGGATATGAAATTTGTAATAGCAGAAAATGATCTCATAAACCGGTTGTTTGAATTGAAAAACAGTAAACATCTTCTTATAAGCAAAGATAGACACGAGTGTGCAAAAGCAAAAGTCCGCGGGGAAGGGCGTGCATGTTCCTACGATAAAAATGTAGCAAATTTCAAGCCGGATGCAACGTATCGAGTTGGAAATTATTTACAGTCGTGGAAGTACTTTCATGACGCGGCACAGGAACTCCGAGAGCAGTTGAAATTTAGAATTCATCTTCAGACGAGCGCCAACAATATTATAAAAGGCATATTAAAGAACTATAACACATCTCGAGAAAACGTAACTTTGATTGCTGTTCATGTGCGACGCGGTGACATGGTCAACCATGCGTTTGGTTATTTAGTTGCAACAAAGGAATACTTCGCGAAAGCAGTACAACTCTTTAGCAATTATTCTAGTCCTATTTTCATCGTTTGTTCTAATGATCTTGGGTGGTCTAAAGCAAACTTTCCTAAGAACTACAAGGTTGAATTTATTTCCGGGAATTCAGCGGAAGTAGATTTGGCTTTAATGGCGTCTTGTGATCACATGATATCATCTGTGGGTTCTTTCAGCTGGTGGGCAGGCTGGCTCAATAACGGAACTGTGACGTACTACAAATGGCCGGCAAAGGAGGGTTCTGGTCTTCGAGCACAGTTCAGCTCAGATTATATGGATTATTTTTATCCACATTGGACAGGCTTATAATGAGTGTAAAACAGTATTAATTAAGGCATCAATATTTTAATTGCATAATACAAGTTTTATGTTTAAAATTTTACTGAGATTATTCCCATCCACCTGTAAAAGGTTCTTTTTTTCCTTTCTTTTTTTAAGTTCTATATATTACGCTTGGTTACTTGTTGAATTCTTGTTTCTTTCTAGATTAGATTACTCACCAACATACATGTTTACTCTATATGTAGATATATTGGATGTGTTCATAAAAGGTAAAGAAAACATGAATGAATGTTCCCTTTAATTACTTTTCAAGCCATGACAGGCATTATTAAGAAGGTTCACAGATGGAAACTTGAATTTAATTCTTGTGTATCAACAACTGAAACCCTTAGTTCTGTGATGTACAACTGCCAATGAATAAGAAAATATATCAAAATAAAGAATTTTTGTTGCCGAGTACCTGTAATTTTTATGCCCCTGTATCGAAGATTCGGGGGTATATAGTTTTTGACCTGTCTGTCCGTCTGTCTGTCAGTTTGTCCACAAAAACTTTAACCTTGCCCATAACTTTTGATTGGCTGGAGCTATGGTTTTCATATTTCACCTGTGTATTCCTTGTGACAAGACCTTTCTTTGGGTATCATCATATTTGGAGTTTGACCCAGTTTAGCAAAATCTTACTGAACTTTAACCTTAGCCATAACTTTTGAACGGTGAGTGCCTGGGCTTTCCTACGTAACATGTGTTATCTTTGTGACAAAACCTTCCTTTGGATACAAACAACTTTGACCCTTTGACCTTGACTTTGGAGTTTGACCTTTTTTTGAAAAACTGTAACCTTGGCAATAACTTTTGAATAGTTGGTGCTAGGGCTTTCATACTTCACATATGTAATCCTTGTGACTTTGGATACCATAAACTCTGACCCTTTGACCTTGACCTTGGAGTTTGACCTTCTTTTGGAAAATTTTATCCTTGGACATAACTTTTGAACGGTTCGTGCAAGGGCTTTCATACTTCACATGTGTATTCCTTGTGACAAGACTTTCCTATGGATACCAAAAATTGTAATTCATTGACTTTGACCTTGGAGTTTGACCTTCTTTTGAAAAACTTATACCTTGGCCATAACTTTTGAACAATTGGTAGTACGCCCGCTTTCATTTTTTACATGTGTATTTCTTGTGAGAAGGCAATTCCTTGGACATCATTAATTTTGACCATTTGACCTTTATGTTTGACTTGCTTTTGAAAAACTTAAACCTTTACCATATCTATTCAATGGTAGCTGCTAGGACTTTCATATTTCGCAGGTATATTCCTCGAGACAAGACCTTATTTTGAGTATCAACATGTTTGATATGCATTTGAGAAAGCTTATCCTTTGCTATAAGTTGCCATAGCCCCGCATTAGTGTTTCACAAACACATCTTGTTCTCCTTAGTTTAGAACGACTCTAACATAAGAGCTGTGCATAACCCTGCCAGTTACAATTTTCTCCAATGTTTAATTTTCTGATCTCGCGGGATTACGTTGGATTTCCGAGTTAAGGCCCGTAGGAATCAATGTCGGGAGAGGGGGGCACAACATAAGAAAAAATCTGGACAAATAAATAAATGAAAAAAAAAAAAGAGATCAAATGTTTTTTTTTTTTTTTTGAGGATGCCAAACCATTAATTAGCTTAGTGTTCCTATTTAAAGTATAAAATGACAAAATTATTCAGGGGATACAAATGTAGTTGACTGTTAGTATATTCTGGCAAAATGATGGGGGCGGGCAGGGGGGGGGGGGGGGAGAGGGTTACTATGGGCCTGGAGATTGAATTCTGGTCAGACTCGACAACACCAGGGAAAAAGACAATAAAGTTCAACCTACGTTGCGTTTGTCCTTAAAGGCGAACTTTTTAAAGGGAGCGGTATAAAAAATAACTATTAATAAATTTAAATCGAAAGATCTTGAAATTCGTATTAGATGTGATATGTGATGTCTAGCAATAATAGCACAAGCTTTTTACACTATGTATTATATGACAATTGAAGTAAAAAGAAGAACTAATATACTGTATAAGCATAAAAAGAGGCAATTTTCTCCAAATGCCAGGATACCTATATTTTTCTATCCTAAATTATATTTGTTTATCAATTTTCAATTAGAAAATGCATAGCTGTTGTTTTTATTCGCATTTCCTTAGAATATATTTGAGATTTGATAATTTTCCCTATATAATATGATTAACTATAATGATGAACTTAGAAGAAATTCCATGGGTAAATTCACGTTAGTATGTGAAATCAGAGAATTTTTGTGAGCATTTTCAGTTACTTAAAAGCTGATTTTCAGAACCTGAGAATCGGACTACCTTAAGCAAAATTTGCGGCAAAATAAACTTTCAAAACAAGCATTTTTTCTTCTGATTGCAGGAATGGTCACCATCCATTCTACAATTAACTTTACACGATTACATTAAACGGGTTTTTTAAGGTCTAGAATTCAAGGGCCTGGGCCTTTCTAATTGGGAAAAAAAATAGCGACATTTGTATGGAATTGGGAAGAACAATTTATACAAAGAAGTACTGAAAAAGATCAAAGCAGTGCATAAAGCAGATATAACTGGACTCCTATTGGCTTTCAATTTGAAAAAAAAAAATTACTTAACAATTTCTAGGCAAAAATTGTAATCTGTGGGCCCGTGAAGGAGATTAATGAGCGATAGGCAACCTTGCTTTGACATGTACATTTGTTCATCGTTTGGGAATTTCAAAGCAAAAATTGGGGAAAATATCTGCTTTTCAGCATTGGGATTAGGGCCTTATTTCGGCCCCCTACAGACCCTAAAAACACCTGCACTAAATAAAAGTAAACATTTACGAAGTACGAATCTGTTTTCAAAAGGCGGGGTCATCACAGTTTCTTGAATCTCTGTACGATAATGAGGACGGTCCACTTTTTACTGACTTCAACATAGTAAGCGCATGTTTGTCTTTTGTTCTGTCCTTTCTGATATATTTTGTTTTATTCAATTCAATTCTTTATTCACTCAAAACCAGAACACTGGTACAAGAGGAACATATACACATATATACAAACAAAAATTACAGTCAAGGGTCAAAAAATAGACAAGTATATAAAGAAAAAAGAAAAGAAAGTAAACATATAATCAGTTATATATATGGAGGATTCAAGAAGGACAGACAGTTTTGAAGATTTTCTTAATAAATTTTGACAATGATTTTTGTATTTCTACATTATTTGTGTTCATTAGTTCATTAAATTTGAAAGTGTTAGGATTTTTACAATATCTATTTTGGAGAAATATTTTTCTGTCATTCGAAAAGAACTTGCATTCCATAACATAATGAAATTCATCACCAATAGTTTTACAATCACAAATGGTACATATTCTTAAATTTCTATCAATATTATTTCATCTACCTGTTTCAATTGGCAAATGATGATTACACGTTCGTAGTTTTGTAAGTGTAACTCTTAAATCTTTCGGTAAATTCACCAGATAATTTTCGAAACCAAAGTTTGTTTTAAAAATTCTATAATTAATACACTTGGGTGAACTATCAACAATGCTTCTCCATTCTTGTTCGAATTGATTTTTTAGGGTATCTTTAATAATTGACTTAAGCCAGTTAAAACTATGAAATGAAATATAAGACAATCCACAAGAATTAAGCTCATCTTGAACACATTTTATCCATGGATGTACAAACGACCCATCGATATAAAACCTATAAAAATATGAATAAATCACATTTGTAAGCTTACTTTCATGGACTGTTAAAATTTTTGCCCAGTACATAACCATTTTTAATTTTATAAATAATAACAGTGGATATCTGCCTGTTTCTCCATACACCATACAATTTGGAGTACTAGATTTAAGATTAAGAATAAATTTCAGGAATTTTAAGTGCACTTTTTCTATTATGTCTAAATTTTCATATCCCCAGACTTCACAAGAATAATGTAAAATTGGGTTGATGACTTTATCAAAGAAGTCTAGCTGACAATTGTAATTGGTAAATTAAAATAGTGAATTTTACGTAAGACTTCATACATTGCTTTTGAAGCTTGTTCTGCTAAATGTTTTTTTTGCATTATTAAACTTTCCACTTCTTGACAGGAATAAACCCAAGTAACAGAATTCTTTCACATTTTCAATAGCCACACCATTATATAAAAATTTACGTTTTGCCATTGGACCTTTAGAAAATATAAGGACTTTTGTTTTGGCTATGTTAACACGGAGTTTCCATAAATCACAGTATTCAGCAAACACATCAAGAGACTTTTGTAAATCAGAAGCAGATTCTGACATTAAGACCGTATCATCAGCATAAAAAAGTATACATAGTTTCAACATGACAAACATGTCATCTTGCTTTTGTTGACTAGGACATGTAAAGCCATGTATTTGATTTCTGGTTAAATAATCCTCTAAGTCATTAATGAACAATGAAAATAAAAAAGGTGATAAATTTTCCCCTTGTCTTACACCGACATTAAACATAAAAAAATCTGATAAGTGTTGACCTATTTGTACCTTTGATTTAATACCCTTATACATGTTTCTAATAAATCTGAGACATTTTCCATCAATTCCACTTTGTAAAATTTTAGTCCATAGACCATGTCTCCGGACCGTATCAAAAGCTTGCTTGAAATCTACAAAGGCACAGAATAACTTCTTTTTATTATTCACGGCATATTTGCTCAGAAAATCAATAACAAATATATTGTCAAATAAATTCTGCAATATGACTACATTAAGTAGTCATATTGCAGAATTTATTTGATAAAATAAAATATGTCAGAAAGGACAGTTCTCCGTTTAAGGAGGCTGGGTGGTCAACAAATTAACCATCAGATATAACTTAATTTTTAGATATGATATCTTAAGCTGTCAACTATCATTTGGCAAACAAAAATTTCATACACTTTAGTTTTAAAATTTGATCATTTTTGTATATCTTTATATGGAGCTCTTCTTCTAAAGGAGATCAATATAGTCTGAAAATGGCCACAACCACCCAGCCCTCTTAACAGTAATTGTATATTTGCATTAATAATGTGTCCAATGTACATTAATAGACAAACATGCGCTCATAGTCTCATAGTTTAAAAGAGAAAAAAATGCTTCTTCTTACATTTGCTCTCTCTGTTATGACCTCAAGTAACATTCCGTCACGTGACTTGTAAAGTAGCATGTTCTGTTCTTACAATGGCGTTCGAACACGTCAAATTGTCAGGCATCGAATTAAAATCTTCTTTACTTACATGGACGTGCTCATATTATTAATTTCGTTCTGAAACCTTTGTTAATATAGTGTACTTGCAGGTCCGTAGAACAAGGGGGGGGGGGGGGAGGTGGCTGCCCTTCCCCTACTTTTTCTGAGTATAGTACTGTATTTTGATATAGTAAATTTTCATTTAGGGAGTTAGATGCTAGTTCCCCCCTCCCAACTTTTTGTTGCTATAAGGTCGAGCACTGGCAAATTCCAGGATTTGGACAGTTAAGGATTTTTTTTTTACCCGTCAGATTAGTTTGGTATTTTGAGAAGTTGCCCCCTACCTTTTTTGGACAGTTTAGGTTATTTTTCTTGCCAGATTTTTTTCGGGAGGTTGTCCCCCTATTGAAACCGTCGGTACAGGCATGACTTGTGCCATACAGAATAAAGAGGGAGATGGGAAATAGCGATCCCTTTTTTAAAACATGCTTATGTAGTCTAATTTTTCTTATACTGTTAGCTACATCTCTCATGCATACCTAATGTTCAAGTGTAAATTCTCTATATTTGGAAAGCAGCAAAGACAAAAGCATACAATTACTTTATTGAATCCAACGGCGGATCCAGGAATTTCATAACGGAGGGGGGGGGGGTGCAGTAGAAGGCAGGGGGTCTGGGGGCTGCATTGAAGTCCCCAGCGGGTCCAGGATAAAGCCCTGGTGGGGGTCCGGACGAATTCTATAACAAATAAGAGGTGTTTTTCCCTTGATTTTAGGATATTACAAACAAAATGTTGGATCCGCCTTTAGAATCACAGTCTAAAATCATTTTAACATTTAAATTTGATACCAAATTGACAGGATTCTTTAATAAAAATGTACAGAATTGAATTAGGTTATAAGATATAAAAGCAACAGAAGCGACCGAAACACCCCAAACCAGTGCAGTCAACTTTTTTCTTCTGGGCGAAAAGTTTCAACATCGGTCATTTATCGGAGCGTATTTTAAAAAAAATCCGCATGTAGCTCATGTACATGATTTTTTCTCTTTATCTGTTCATGCATAGTAACCAATTCTTTTTCATTTTTTGTTTTGTTTTGGTTTTTTTTTAATATAAAATGTATACCTTAATTATACAGAAGTGAAAAACTCAATTTAAGGATAAAATCCTTGCAATTAAGTAGGAACAGGGACTGTGTTTGTGTGTGTGTGTGTGTGTGGGGGGGGGGGGGGGGGTGCTACGCCTGCCAGTTTTTTTCGCAAACCGCACGGCATTAATGAACGACTTATCCCCCATTATGTCAGATAACTTGAATGAAGATCGACAGTTTTATACCTTATGGTTTATTTAACTTAGCCTTAATTTATTTCTTTGTCAGCTTGCTACCTGCCTACAAAACTGAAGGTCAGTGGTCCGCCCCCCCCCCCCCCTTCCTTTCTCCCCGTCTAGACCCGCGCATGGTATATCAATATTGTCCAATTATATCTATCCATGAGAGAAAATTAAATAACCTTTGCTACTTTCTCTGCCCCCTTTTTCGTGCACTCTACCCCCTCTCAAGCCCATTTCACAACGCACATCTTTTTAGGCTAATATCTTTGTGTTGGATTAAGTAAATCTTTCCAATCCAACTTATCTTCAATAAAATACAAGATATGTCCAAAATAAAAAGTAGAAGGTATTTTTATTAACATTTCAGTTTAATCTTTATTCAAAACAGACTAAAGAATAAAGAAAAAAAATATTTATTTGTTTATTTTATTAATTTCTTAATTAGTCAATTTAAAAAGGTATCTACATACATTATCGTCGCAAGCCATGGGTTTTGTGTCCATTCTATTTCCAAAACCCGTGTTTGTGGAAATAGAATGGACAAAACCCATGGCTTACGACGATTATCACATCATTTTATTTTTTTCCAAATACAATCGGGATCGACATACAGTTGTCGATCATACAGGAAAAATAAAAAGAAGCGAATTATAAGAATTATATGGTAATTTTATCCTATTACGCATTTTTGAAAAGGTTATTTTATACTTTCTTTTCTTAATTCAATGTTTTAACTTCATAATTTACAAATAAATAAATAAATAAATAAAAAATAATTATAATTATCTATTTCCGTACCCTTTTCGTCTAATATACATACCTTATCGCACATGTCAAGAACTTTCACTTTCCTGTTTCCATTTTGCAGGACTTTTTTTGACTTTATCAAACCCTAATAAAAATGTCAGACTGTAACTTTGTATCACAGGACGTGAGCATGGATGGAACAATGAGTGACGATTCTAATTTTGCTAGCACGTCATCCTGGACCGGGGTCGCCACATCAGAGCCGATGGACGACAAAGAGAAGGATGAGGACATTGAATCTTATTACTTCGAGTCGGACCATCTAGCGTTTCGCGGAAACAGCGATTATAACACAATGTTGAAAACGATAGCCTTACTAGAGGCACAAAGAATTCAAGCTATAGCAGACATAGAGAAGCTGCATGAATGCATGGATGATGCTCTAAAAAGCCCAATTGAGTTTGTAAATAAGCTGCAGCATGGTGTAGATCTAGGTTTACCAAAAGCACAGCAAATTGCAGAACTCCCTGAAATCAACTGGGAGAAATACACAAGCTCGGTTGACTTTTCCAGTTTTGGATTTCCTAAACATGTGACTCGATTAAGAAAGCAGTTAGTTGAGGGACCAAGCAATCCAGAATGCTTGGATGACTCCGTGAAAGTGGAGGGTAATATGACATTAGTGAGAGGTAGAGTAAAAGGAGAAGACAAGACAGAAACATTCAACAAGTTATGGACAGCAGAGGAACAGAAAAGATTAGAGGAACTTTTGGTAGAATTTCCTCCTGAAGAAGTGGAAGCAAAACGATGGGCAAAGATTGCAAATGCACTTGGAAACAGAACACCTATCCAAGTGGCAAGCCGTGTGCAGAAGTACTTCATTAAGCTTGCCAAAGCAGGGCTCCCAATTCCTGGGAGACTTCCAAACATTGCTATTCACAGACCAAAGCATTCACATAGACATCAAAGATTCCAGAAGTTTTACTACCAACCATCCACATTCCTGACATCCCACGAACCTCCAGTTTATATGTCAGATGATGAGAATAATTCAGAATCCTTCTATGGTGGTGATGAATCAAAAGAAAACTTCCTGAGTTCTGGATTTGATAACTCAGACAATGATGAAGATCCAGACGAAGATGAACTCATTCCTATTGAACTGAGAAATACACCAGAGTATGAAGAATTGATGCAACTGAAAAAACTAAAACACCACAAAATGAAAGTGAAGAGAGAAGCGACCACAAAACATTTTGGCTTCAAATGTGATGGTTGCAATTGTGACCCAATAATTGGTACAAGGTGGCATTGCCAAGATTGTGATCAAGAAGACTGTGTGGATTTTTGTGAAAAGTGTGTCAATAGAAACATTGAGGTAGGACAACATAACTCCAGTCACCGCCTAACAGCTGTAACGAAGGACTACACTGATTATGGGACACATAACTCCAGTCACCATCCAACAGCTGTAACAAAAGACTCTGCTGATAGTGATTATGGGACACAGTCTTTCATGCCAGAGGGATATAACTATTTAGACCCAAATTACATGCCTGCAACATAGGCAAAAATCACAAACAATAGCTGTACATAACAATAGTAAAAAAATCAATCAGTCTGTAGTAGAGTTTATTTAATTGCAACAACAGATATTTTAAATAGCAGATGGTTTTAATAAAGGTAAATAATCAGTGTGTAATGTATAGTACATGCATAGGTATAGTTTTGTATGAACTTATGAAGTGGGATGTCTCTATGTATATGTTATACGTGTAGTGTAACTTCCATTTACTTTGATATACTCAGTGCATATATTTTATCACAAAATATAAACCAAGTACAATATATTAATACTATCTTAACATCAGAAATGTTCCGGAATTTTTTTCAATTATACTTTTCCATTTTGCTTTTATAAATCTGTGTTATAAGATATAAAAAGATTGTAAGAGTAGATTTCTACAGTCTGGTAATATGAAACATGGCTGGAATTAAGGGGATATCTTGGTACAGATGTGGGAATCTGCCTCTCATGTGTTATAGGATCACAACTGTTCACCAGGGTCTCAACCATTGTCGGTGTACCACTGAGGTAAAAACTCAAACCTGGAGCCAGGATCCTGAACAGAACAAGTTATCTCCCCTGGAGGGGTCCATTCAAACAAGTAAACTGTCCTACAACACAAAAGATTGACAGGCCAAATTCAGAATGTTATGAGAAAAAAAAGGAAATCCTGTGTCAAATGTTCAAATGCATGTGCAATCTGAGAGTAAAGTTTCATGATTTATTTTAATGACTATAAGTTTTAATGATGTCTAGTTTGAAAGACTTTAAGTTTTAATGATTATAACTTACCTGGGGTCATCTTTAACACAGATTCTCTTCACGTGAGAAAGAAATTTGTCCAGAAAATTGAAACAAATCACTGGATCCCACCCATCACGTTCATCCTGCAAATAGTGAAGACAATAAATACAGATGAACATTCATTTTATTGTGAATGCCTTGAGTAAAGAGCACACTTAGATAAAATTTGCCACTTGTCTGTACATTTTTTTGTTTATTAGTTACTTGCCTTGGCTTGATGAGGAATTTTCAGCGTTTTCATTTTCTCAAGGCTATGCACCACCCCATCATCATCACGATAACCACAGACAATAGTTGGAATACCCACAAGGAAACTCTGGGCCCACCACTTTATTAACTTAAACCTTAAATAACCTAAATATTGTTAGTCTGAGTTTCAAGAGTTATGCCCCTTTTCATTATCTCTGTAACTTTAATGCTGCTGTCAAAATAAATATCATCCTACTGTAGATTGTAATGCAAGTCTAATCATTACTTGATAAAGTTCCTTTCTTGTCTATAATTATCTAGCTGCCTTGTTGTTTTGAATTCTACATATTTACAGGAGTCCTTTGATTGAAGGTCAATCGCATCAACTTCCCCAGAGAACACTGTATATAGAGAGAAGAAAAAATGCATACAAATCATGAAAACTAAAAACAGTACATGATTGCACATTATTATTAGTTTGCCTTGTACCTAAGGTTAAAACAGAATATTTAAGCATTTTTTCAATGCGAATTCTTTTTAAAAGGTTTGCTGGCTTTGTTAAAAAAGATTTTTAAAGGTATATTATAAATTTTCAATGGATGACCAACTACATGCAAGTCCTACCCCTAGACACAGAGGACATGAATATCAAAACCTTGGTAGATGGCTAGCTGCTCATTATATTCATTCAAACAGTTTCCTTGATAGATGTCAAAGAGTAAAGGAAAATTTTGGAAATTGGCATGAATTTTGATGGTTTTGTCCCCATCCCCCTAGGCCCCAGTTGGACTATGATCTTGATATTAGCAGTTTTTGTTTCCCTTTGTCCTTAGCTGGTATATACCAAAATGCTGAAAATATTCAGAAATTCATGAATCATGCTTTACTTTGTCGGAGAACAGATGGCAATAGGTCATTGTATAACATCATTTAACATTTGCTCCTTTATGCAATGGATATGCTGTAAATTCCTGAATTAACACTGGTGATTAACATGACTTGTAGACATCAAATTACAAGAACATAAATATGTGAGTGGATTATTAAGACATTTATCATGTATATCACCAACAGCAAAATGAAGATTTTTCTTTCTTCAGTGTTGCTTGTTGCGAAATTACATGACAATAAACTCCTTGCATATTATTATATTTAGGAATCAACAGTAGCTCATAGGATATCATTTTCATATCCACAGTTGTGACATCACAATGGTTTTTGTGCAAATTTGATCAAGTCAAATATTGTGGATTTACATATATAAAACAGTATAAAATATGAAATAGCAATGTGTAAAACAGGATAAAAACAATCTCCCATGGTTTGTGGTTAGATGTAATTCATTGTGTGTTTTTATCCCTTCACCAAGGCTTGGGGATAAAAACTTGTTGAATAAAAAATCATATCCAACTACAAACCATTGGAGATCATATACGTATCTAGATAGATCTCTATTTGACAATCATATTTTAATAAGACAGAATTTACATGTTTTGGCATAGAACCCATTAAGTGGCTGTAATATGATAATGGAATCCCTAAGTTCCTTACACATTGAGTACTTCTCTAAAGTGTGATACTGAAATCCCTAAGTTCCTTACACATTGAGTACTTCTCTAAAGTGTGATACTGAAATCCCTAAGTTCCTTACACATTGAGTGCTTCTCTAAAGTGTGATAATGAAATCCCTAATTTCCTTACACATTGAGTACTTCTCTAAAGTGTGATACTGAAATCCCTAAGTTCCTTGCACACTGAGTACTTCTCTAAAGTGTGATACTGAAATCCCTCAGTTCCTTACACATTGAGTATTTCTCTAAAGTGTGATAATGAAATCCCTAAGTTCCTTACACATTGAGTACTTCTCTAAAGTGTGATACTGAAATCCCTAAGTTCCCTACACGGTGAGTGCTTCTCTAAAGTATGATACTGAAATCCCTAAGTTCCTTACATAGTGAGTGCTTCTCTAGTCTTGATCTGACCACTGTACAGTATGCTTCACAATTATTGACTGGTTCTCCTGTGTTTGGAATGCCATCTGGTTTATCTGTAGTAGAAAAGCAAGTAAATAACAGTACCTCCTAGCAAACATAGAATTTCTAAGAAAACTAGAGGTACTGTGAGCACTGACCTCACAAAATGATACCCCCCCCCCACCTCCCATGTGATTATAATGGCAAAGTCCATGTTTTGCTGTGGGAGACCAGAAATTAGTGTCGGAACAAAAAGTAAGATAGGAGGTGCACAATGGCACTATGTAACAAAGATTCTGTGAAAGTCTTATTAAATTTCATTCAGTGGACTGGTATAAGAGGAGTTGCGAATAAGAGATGGGTACCCCAAAGTGAAACGGATGGATGTACAGACAGACAGATGGACATCACCATCACTATACACCCCCCGCTTTTTCAAGCAGGGGTATAAATATACTTGGTGTCTACAAATAATTTGCAGAAGTACTGATCTGTGATTTTCAGTAGCAAATTATTAAGATAATGTGCCCATGTATCAAGTTCATATAACTCTAGATGTGCTTATTCATTTCAATGCAGGTATAAATCTACAGTTATAAGTTCCATGTCTTTTAGGTACAAGTTCTTGATTCTGTCTGACAGGTAGTCTGACATAAAACATACCTGAAGTAACATACTGTTCAAATTTCCAGCCCCAATAAGACATTTCCCTTTGCCTGTCTGACATTTCTTGCTTCTGTTGCTTTCGGCTTTCTGTATCAAATTCACACATGTAAAATGTATCTTTGTGCCGAGTAACAGCTATAAGCCAACCATCCCTGTTTTCATAAGGAGTGCAGAGCAACTTTGTCAGAAGCCCCCTCCAACAAACAAAATCAGTATGAATATTCCTGTAAATTATAAGTAGAAACATGACATGAAAACTAAAGTTTTAAATCTTCCAAATTCAAATTAACCATGCTCATTTCAAATGAAACATTATTTAGATATAATTTAATTTTGTTTGTATTCTAGCCTCTGATTGGTTAATATCCAAAAAGGAACACAAATTATTTCTGTATAACCTGGTTTGGTATGGGGACACCCCCCCCTGACAACCAGCTGAATCGTCTGTATCCATGCAATCCTCTCATTTCCAGTCCTCGGGATTCATGGAAAATTCCAGATTTAATAAATGTACCTTTAACTTCAAACAGTAACTTGGATCTTACCAAATGTAAACAAAACAACATGGCTGCTAGGACTATGTATCAGTTTTTACCTCCCCTCGCTTCCCATCACTTCCGTTACTAGGGTTTTATTATTGAGCGGCAAATTTGAACTAATAAAAAGCAACGAAATTTTACACCCACAGTTGTTTAATGATTTTTGAATTAAATTATAAGGAATGACTCTAATTCTTGGCCAAATTATTCGAGTATAACCTGGTTTGGGTCAGTTTACGCTGTTTTATAATCCGCTTCGCGCATTATAAAGCGTAAACTGATCCAAACCAGGTTATACTCGAATAATTTGGCCAAGAATTAGAGTCATTCCTAAAATGTTAACATTCAACAGTATGAGGAGGGCAAAGTTCCCAGAATCTGATGAATTGTAGAGGTTTACAAGATGCATTTTTATTCACCTCTCTTGCTCATTTTACTTTAAATTTGTTAATCAATTATGTATCACTGTGTATTGTTTTAAACTTATCAAATCTTACACCCATACACAATAGCTTATTAACTTTTTTAATTGAAACAAAAAAAAAAAACAAAACAACAGAGAGTACTTTGTAATTTTGCAGGGTCCAGCACATTACACGAATTAATCCTACTATAATCATGATAATGTCAGAGTCTAATTTGTTTTCTATGTCTTTGATTATTGTAACACAGATTTTTTTCTCATCATGTAATATCTACTTCAGTGTTTTAATGTTGCTTCCAATTAAAATTTCTTCTTCTGTATCCATTTATTTGAAAACATTGTGGATGCTCGGGTATATAGGAGCATACAGGAGTATGCCTAGATATGTCACTGAAGTACCAGAAAGGCTATATGTTAAACATATTTCTCATAAGTTTTTTTTTTGGGGGGGGGGGGGGGAGAAAAAGTTGTTATCCTCTATAGAATATTCTTATCAATATAATGCTATTGTCCTACAGACTTGGTTTAGTGAGGAAATACTTTCTTTGTGTTGGCAATGCAGCACAGAAACAGAATTAGATAATTCTTATTCATGTGTAAACTACAAATAATTCAGAGAGTTTCAAACATCAACAAGGCATGTAAATTTAAATCAAGGAAATTTGTTTTTTAGATATATGCGTCAATTTTTACTTTAAATGGATTATTTTCTTGGGTACATGTATATATATTATGAGTATATGCAAGCTCAGAAAGGTTGGAAAAGATTAATTGAATAATTAATTTCAGTGCAGCACCTTTTGCATTTATCAAAAATCGTGCCATAGTGGATCTGCTCTGTTTTGCTACGTGCAACTACATGGAACATTCTAACTGGGTTGAGGGCTTGTTCCGAGACACAGATAATTCCAACTAGTCATCCTTTAATACTTGAGCAAGCTCACCTGATCTTCCCTTTCTCTTTGTCCGACTTTTTCTTCTCATCTTCTAACAAAAACTTTTCTCTGTTACAACAAATCCACTTCAGAATATCATTTATATACTCTTCTGAATTTTCATCTTTTTCAATGAAATTATGATATCCTTTTCTTAAATCAAATTTAACACTCTGAATATCTTTTGGTTGTATATAGTATTTCAACTGACTTCTGTTATTGTGGAAATTCCTTTTTATGTCTAGAGACAAACAACCTATTTCTGTCGGCTGTCTAAAAAATGGAAAATTGCCAGTTCCTTTGAACAAACTGCTTGGTCTTGTTTGTAAAGAGGTGAGAGTTTGGTATCTTCTTTGATATTTATTTTTGATGTCTCCACAGATAGGATCATCGTCTATTTCTCCATATGAACGTTTCATTTTGACGACAGAAAAAAAGAGAATTACATGTCATACACCAAACATATCCCTGCCACTTTTTTTCTTGTTTACACGTGTGGAAAATGAAAGTACATTAACGGAAGTGGATTATTGGCCAATAAAATTCCAGGTTATCTTTTTTTCCGTTCCTAAAGTATGGAAGCTTCCAACAGTCTCAGAGTTTGGAAAAATAATTTATTTTGCAGACATTTACATTCACTGTTTTAAATGAACAATCGGGGTTAACCGAAAGTTAAGTTTTCCAGTCAGAACTTTCAACCGGAGCAAGTTGTGTTTATTTAACTTCGAAGTCCAGTAGAAATCAGACAGGTGCAGGTGCGTCTAACCTTGTTTCAGCCTTAAACGTTTTGGGCCTCTGTTTTTTCAGACTATTGCAATTTCTTCCCATAGGCAACAGCCTAGTTTGTAAATAACAATATATCTACTGTATATAACATTATTTTATAGTTTAGTAGACATTTATTTTTAAAATACAAAATTAAGCTGGTAAAGCCTATGTTTCTTTCTTGAACCCAATTTTATATTATAATTTGGTCTGGCACAATATCTTGATTTAGCTATATAGCTTGAGCTAACTATATAGTTTCATTTTATTTAGCTCTTCAAAATAGCTTGATTGAGCTATTTTGTCATATTTTTTCTTAAATGTGCAGTTTTTCAGCAGGTAAAAAAAGTTGAACTTTGATACAATGAAAGTGTTCAGCTTTGGACTGTTCTGAAACCAATGCATGAAAAAAAGTCACTCATCAAATATTGCATCTCCTTGAGGGACTGTGTACTCAAAGTTCAAAAGTTTTTGGGGTTGTATAAAGCAAGTGATTTAAGTGATAGCCGCTTGGTTTCAGCAGGGTGTATTTTGTGTATTATTTGTTTTTCTAGGTGTGTCTAAATACACTTATTAAAATAAAAATAAAAAATCCCTGATATTAGCATGTTCTAAATATATCATATTACTGTACATAAAAACAGTGAGGGTATGACAGTTGACATCTTCGATTTCAGGGGGTGCGTCGGTTCACGCTCGATTTTAATCTATATCTACACTTTTCCTACCAATGTTGGGTGAGATCTAGCTTAAAAAACTGATTGAATAAAGCCCTCTAATCGTCTGTCGATTTGAACTTGCCTTATAAAACATGAGTTAACCAAAATGTCCTTGATACCTAGCATTAAAACTGAAAGCAACAGAAGTGAGGATTTTTAACTATGTTAAATATAGAGGCATTCCACAATTATACAGAAAGTCTAGAGGGATCAAAAACTGCATGAAACTTGTTCTTTCTAAAATGTTTCAATCACTGAAAAAAGATAGACATCCTCTTCAGTGTACAAAAGCATAGAAGGTTCATAATCCCTCAGTTCACATTTAGAATTTTTTTTATTTAATGATAATGATTGTTAGAAAGAAATCTAATATTAAACTTGAATGCAATTAACTTCTGATCAGAATATCCTGCAAGGATAAATTGGACAGTTATTGCCATTATGTTTTATGTAAGTTAAACAGTCTTTAATGCAGACAGAGTTATCCCTCTTATTAAAGGAGCTATAGAGCTGCAGCTTGAGTGGCACTTGGCATTGTTAGCTGCATTAGTTTGCTTGTATTGTTAAAAATATAGCTAGTCATAATGAAGTATTAACTTAGTTGGGAATGAAAAAAGTATTCTTTAAATTCTATATTTTGTAGAGTTTAAATCATGTCCAAAAGGTCCATGGTTAATGATCTGTATAAGTCCAGAAAAAGAATCTGCACTGCTTCAATTTCTTCTGCCAAAGACACACCTGAGTTCAACGATGGAGTGAATGGAACTTCATTCTCCAGTAACAAAATACTGTCTTTTATCAGGAACACACAGAATCTGGCAATTTATTATTCACTGTATTTTTAAAGTTGAATATGGCTTCAAGCATTGTACAGAAATTTTAGTTTGAATATTGATATTGTCAAACATTTGTTACTTAGGAAATTAAACATTTCATTTCAATGAATATTGATATTGTCAAACATTTGTTACTTAGGAAATTAAACATTTCATTTCAACTTTTGTTTTAGCGGCAGAGATACCCTCGGACACCAAAGTGTCACTCCTCCATCTTCAACAGTTATTTCCCTTAGATAAGTTTGAAGGAAGATTACCAGTAGTGATAGTGAAACATCAACTATACAGCTTACTGAAGGACAGAACAGCTGTCGATAAACAAATAGTAAGACTTACACAAGCTAGACTAAGCTCAAGTGATGTAAAACGTGCTGAAAATTAGTTAGATTTTAGATTACAGCTACCAAAAACTCAAGTCAAAGTGTTTTTTTAGGATGATTTAAAACAAGCCAATGAGATTAAGTTGTTCAAGCTTGGTGCTGAGTTAGATGACTACTGTATTGTGTTCACTGAGGCGTATCGAGATCATGTGATCAGTGTGATGAAAGAACTCTCCATCAGCAAAAATACTTGTAGTAAGAAGTTCAGACTGTATTATTACAAACTCCAATAGAAGTTAACTGGTTAATAATGATGAGTTGTATGAGAAAAAAAAAAGTTGTTTTCATGAATTATGAGATACATGTATATCAATATGACTTTTGCAGATAAATTTGTGAATACTGTCATAAAGAAATATACAGATGTCTGCATCAACAAAGACACTTTGATGAATGAATTCAACTTCACAGACTCAGAAATTACGTAAGAGGTTGTGAAATTGTTCTAGTATTACAGAAACATTCAGGTAAATAACTGTAAACTATCTTAATTCCAGGCAGCTGGTGAAAGCCTCTGTCCTCACAGTGAGGGATGTAGGGAACTGGTGGATTGCTTTACCTAATGCGGGAGTCTTCATGAAGTGTTTTCTACGAGGAAGAAAGGCCATTCTGACAATGATAAGAAAATGCAAATACCGAGAGATTCTTCAAATGGTAAGGAAAAGCAAATACTGGGCGGTCCTTCAAATCGTAAGACCAAGATATCGAAATTACAAACTGAACAGTAACATATAAGTACATGTAATTGAATCATTAAACAACAAAGTACATTATTGGCTGTATTAGGCCGAGAAATTTTGGATTTTACAAGTACAATAATATTTTGTGTAAGTTGGAAGTGAATGATTTGAACAGCTATTAATGTGAACACGGACAACATTTACAGAGGATGCAATCCAAATCCACTTATAAATTAAAATATAGAGGTGACATTTGTAATTTACATTATTAGTCTTGTCCACTAATTCAAGTACACCAAATGTATGATTTAAACAAATACTCATAGACATTTTGCTCCAAATGCCTTAATTCATGATTACACTCATTAGTTGTTGGGGAAGATTGCACTAAAGTTTGAGTAATTTTGTACCATTATGTATATTTACAGTACTTTTTGGTCTGTCTGTCTGTTAATCTGTTTGTCTGCAAAAACTTTAACCTTGCCCATAACTTTCGAACAGTTGGTGCTAGGTCTTTCCTATTTCACATGTTTACTCTTTTTGACTAGATCTGTCTCTGTTGACCATTATTTTTGACTTGACCTCTTGACCTAAGAGTTTGAGATACTTTTGAGAAACTTAAACTTTGGCCATCACTTTGGCTTTCACATGTTTATTCCTTGTAGAATCTTTCTTTGGGTACCTTTATTTTTTGATCTCTTGACCTTAAAGTTTGACCTACTTTTGAAGGAGAACTTAAGCCTTGGTCATAACTTCTGAATGGTTGGTGGCTTTTATATTTTACATTTGTATTCCTTATGATGAGATCTTTCTTTGGGTTCCATTATTTTTTACCTCATGACCTTGGAGTTTGACCTACTTATGAAAAACTTCTAGATTTGCAATGAGCTCCCATGCAGGGGCATCAGTGTTTCTCAAACACATCTTTTTTTTTTTATTTCAATACACATGTATAACTAAGGACAAGTTTAGAAACCATTAGGATACATATCCATGTACAAATGTAAAACTAAAAGAAGTTGTTACAAGTAGAGGTGTAACATTTCTCTTCCACTATTGTACAGAAGTACAAACAAGTAGAGCATCAGTCTTGTCAGAGACCTCTGGTTTAGTTTTTACTGATTGATAATTAATTATATGTATTTAAAGAGAAAGCTTGTTAATAAATACAGGAATTGGAACAAAGAAAATGGCCTAAGATTTGCAAGCTGGGACTTCAGTATCACATGCATGAAGTAATTGGTGCTGATCTCATAAAATGGTAAGTCTCTATACGTACATGTATGTATTTTATTTTCAGCTCACCTGAGCTGTAAGCTCAAATGAGGTTTTCTGATCACATTGTTTGGTGTCCTTCTGTCTGTCCTTGCATCACACATAATTTGACTATCTTAAGAGCCACTGGGCCAATTTCAACCAAACTTGGCACAAAACATCCTTAGGTAAGGGACAAATAAAGGCCATGTCCCCATCTAAGACTGGATAATCAAGAAAAGGCAGAAATAGGGTGGATTCATTTAAAAATCTCAAGAACCTCTGGGCCAGAAAAGATAAAACTTATATAAAAGTTTCTGACATAATGAAGATCATACCATGAAGATTATAAATTATGCAGGTAGGATAGGGCTACAAGAGAGGATCAAAGTTTTATGCAAGAATATACATTTACTGTATTTAGGAAGAGATCTTTAAACATCTTCTCATGAACCACCTGGCAGGAAAAAATGGAAAACTTTCTAACATCAAGTCATTGTTCTGAGGGTGCAGGGTAGGAGGACAATAGGGGATCAAAGTTTTACATTGGTAATTTGGAAATTTAAAAAAAAAGTAAGAAGTTGTATATCACACTAAATCATGTAATTGTGCAAACATTCCCAAGTTATGTAGATTCAAGCTTCTAGTCAAGTTATGGGGTTAGGATGGGATTACAATATAGGGTCAAAATTGTTCATAGGAATACAAAGGGGGAAAAAACTTTCTAAAGAAGAGCAGGGTCATTGTGACTCAAATTAGAATTGTGGCTCATTAATCATGAGCCGCTGTGAGCCAAGCGCTCATGTGAGCTTGTCTGATCGAAATGTGTCTGTCTTCTTCTAGCTGTCTATCTGTCTGTTAACTTTTCACATTGTTTTCTTCTTCATAATATAAATGCAAATTTGTTCAAATCATGACCCCAGTGGGTAGGGTAAGGCCACAACAGGAGATCAAAGTTAAACATGGGAATATATCGGAATCAATCGTTTAAACTAGCCCTGGAGATGGGATGGGGCTACAATAGAGAATCAAACTTTTGAGAATGTATTGGAAAAAATCTTTTTTTGCCCTCGCCATAAAATGCTAAGTCATAAAGTTTTACTCCTTTCTGTCTGTCATTCCTTTGTAGTTTTCTGGACTTTTTTGGGCATTGTTTGTAGATAATAAGCTGTTTTTGGTATATCTGACTTACAGATTGAATTTGAGTTTCATTGATCCATTTTTAGCTCACCTCAATGAAGTTGGGGGAGCTTATGTAATACCCTCGGCGTCGGCATCAGTGTCGGTGTCCCAGGTTAAGGTTTTGGAGCAGTTTTCTTTTCAAGTACTTCTATGGCCTATATTAGTCAGAGATGCATGGAGGATGCTTCTAGTGTGTTTTATTGTACCAGTCAAGGTTTCAGATGCTGCAATTTCAGCTAAAGAATGACCAGGTTAATGTTTTTGGAGCAGGTTCAAGTTTTTGGAGCAGGTCTCATTTACAAGTAACTATAAGCCCTATATTGACCACTCTTGCATGGATGATACATCTAAGGATGCACACCACTGAACTTGCTTCGGATGCTGGATCTGACCTACATTTTCCGGATGAGTGACTAGGTTAATGTTTTTGGAGTAGATCTCATTTCCAAGTAACTATAAGCCCTATATTGACCAAACTTGCATGGATGAAACATCTAAGGATGCACACTACTGGACTTGCTTCGGATGCTGGATCTGACCTATATTTTCCAGATGAGTGACCAGGTTAAGGTTTTTGGAGCAGATCTCATTTCCAAGTAACTATAAGCCCTATATTGACCAAACTTGCATGGATGAAACATCTAAGGATGCACACTACTGGACTTGCTTTGGATGCTGAATCTGACCTATATTTTATGGATGAGTGACTAGGTTAATGTTTTTGGAGTAGATCTCATTTCCAAGTAACTATAAGCCCTATATTGACCAAACTTGCATGGATGAAACATCTAAGGATGCACACTACTGGACTTGCTTTGGATGCTGGATCTGACCTATATTTTCCAGATGAGTGACCAGGTTAAGGTTTTTGGAGCAGATCTCATTTCCAAGTAACTATAAGCCCTATATTGACCAAACTTGCATGGATGAAACATCTAAGGATGCACACTACTGGACTTGCTTTGGATGCTGAATCTGACCTATATTTTATGGATGAGTGACCAGGTTAAAGTTTTTGGAGCAGATGTCATTTCCAAGTATCTATAAACCCTGTATTGACCAAACTTGCATGGATGATACATCTAAGGATGTACACTACTGGACTTGCTTCGGATGCTGGATCTGACCTATATTTTCCGGATGAGTAACCAGGTTTAAAGTTTTTGGAGCGGATTTCATTTCCAAGTAACTATAAGGCCTATCTGAACTAAACTTGCATGGATGATACATCTAAGGATGCACACTACTGGACTTGCTTCGGATGCTGGATCTGACCTAAATTTTTGGGATGAGTGACCAGGTTAAAGTTTTTGGAATAGATGTCATTTCCAAGTAACTATAAGCCCTATATTGACTAAACTTGCATGGATGATACATCTAAGGATGCACACTACTGGACTTGCTTCGGATGCTGGTTTTGACTTACATTTTCCAGATGAGTGACCAGGTTAAAGTTTTTGGAGCAGATGTCATTTCCAAGTAACTATGAGCCCTATATTGACCAAACTTGCATGGATGATACATCTAAGGATTCACTCTACTGGACTTGCTTTGGATGCTGGATCTGACCTACATTTTCCAGATGAGTAACCAGGTTAAAGTTTTTGGAGCAGATCTCATTTCCAAGTAACTATAAGGCCTATCTGAACCAAACTTGCATGGATGATGCATCAAGGCACGAACAATCTCAAAACTTGCTTCGGATGCTGGATATGACTTACATTTTCTGGTTGAGAGACTAGTTTTAAGTTTTCAAATAAGTCTATTCTAAAGTAACTGCAAGCCCTATCAGAGCAAAATTGCATAAATGTTGCATCTAGGGATGCACACTCCTAGATTATTAGTTTAGTGTGGGACTTTGCCTTACTTAAAGACAACATTTGTTGAGGTGAGCTCTGTAATCTCTGATTACCTATGTGTATGAAGTTGTATCCCTTAGACTTCAAAAAATTCTAATTCAATGTTTTTTATACACCCACTTGAAAAGCTGGTTTATAGTGAAAGGGGGGGGGGGGGGGTTCACTATGTCCATAACACTTAGGGGTATCCATTCTCTTATCTGTAATCCTATCCTATACCACTGAATAAAATTTAATGAGACTTTCATAGAATCTTTATTACATTGTTCCATTGTGCACCTCCTATTTTATGTTTCTATTGGACAGATATTTGGAGTTTCCCATAGCAAAAGTGCCATTCTTTCTATAATATTGGAGGTTACTCATCTCTTATCTGCATCTTGCATGTACCACTGAATAGAATTTAATGAGACTATTACGGAATCTTTATTATATAGTGCCATTTTGCACCTTCCATTTAATGTATTGATCGGGCAGAAATTTGGGTTTCCCATAGCAAAACATGAACACTGCCATTATACTTGATAAAGGAAATACTCAATTTGTTAACGCAACTCCACCTAAACCCCTGAGTGAAATTCAATGGTTCACAAAATCTCATTTACATACTGCCAAGAAATGCACTTTGCCTTTATACTCATATTGGAGTGGAGGTATCATTTTGTGAGCTCAGTGCTCACAATACCTTTAGTTTTACTTAACATTGCTTGATATTTACGCACACTTATATCTTTCTATAAAAGGTATATAAAAAATGAAGAAAAAAAATATTTTTTACATTTAATGGAGCCTATCAGATAATGGTATCATTTTTCCATCATTTACAGTTGAATAGGTGGTAATGATTTTGATGTGGATTTGTACATCTATAAGCAACCCTTAATCATGAGCAGCAAATATAACAGATTTCTATTTATAACTGTATCTGTAATTGAAATGTACTATTATATTGTACTTAATAGAGTTAGGGTATTTATGTGTGTGTTAAATATCAATCTGCAGTTTAGTATACTTTGTTCTTACAATTACCGAAACTGCAGTACAGTTAAAATTCAGTGTCCTGAATACTGATATCTCAAATGCCATGGATATGTCAAAGTGATAATGAAGTAAATTATTATAGAAACAAGTGCCTGTTATAAGCCTACAATTTTAATCCAATGTTTTAAAAAAGTTTGATTTAGAGCAATGTATTTTTATCAATTGTTTTGCCTTTAAAGGGTCATAATATTAATTCAGTCAAAAAAAAAAGAAAATGATCAGATTCCCATCAAACTTCAACTTCTATGTACTATCGTGTTGCAAATTTAATACCGATAAAAGTTTGAATATACAAAAACAACTTCTGGAAAACAAGAGTTTTGGACATCTGAAGCTAAATTCTGCAGTCACCAGGCTTTCACTGACAAAGGACAAGTAACTATGATAATGATCAGTTGATTTCAGCACTTCAATTGTCTGATTTCATTTTGTTTTCTGTTTTTTAGCATTCAGACAACCTCAGGACAATTACTTCGTCTCAAGGACTCCTAGTCCTACAGGAATCTCCTCTAACAGTTGCTCCTGTAGGATTTCCTAGTCCTTTGGGAATCTCCTCTAACGGTTGCTCCTGTAGGATTTCCAGTGCCATCTGTTGTACAACATCAACACTGCTGTGATAAAGACAGGACTCAATGGCAGGTTTAGCATAAACAGCTGAATCTAAAAGAAAAGAGCAATCAGATCATTGATGATATTACAGATTTTTAGGTCAATATTATTTATTTTACCCATTGTCTTTCTGTACATGTTGATTTTGTTAATGAGAGTATTGTTAATGAGCATTTCCAATTAAAGTGAATCAGACCTGGAGGACTGTGGCTCAGTTTGTTCATATGTGAAGTGAATATGTGTGAATGATTAGTGTGGGGTATTTTATTTTTCATCAGACAAAATATTTTTCATTCTATTTAAGAGACGAACTTATGCATTGGTAATGTTTTCTAAAAGCACCTCTAGTTTAATATATGTATGTGTTTCTGATCTGTTAATTTTTTGATGACTTTCATGATTTATTGGAGAATAGTGTCTGTGATATTTCTCTGATCTTGACAATAACTGTAGTAGAATAAAAATGTTCCTTCTTTTATTTGAAAAGAAATAAAACTTTATATAAATATAAACTTTAGACAGGCATTATTTCTCTGTATATATGTACTGACATGGAATCACTTTTTAGAAAAGATTAACAAAGACATAGTTATTCTCTGATCATTACACATTCTAACCAGTTGAGCAACAGTCTCCGCAGAGATTGTGGTTTATGTTTCTTGATTACGTTGAAAGGAAGCCTGTCTCTCTTAGAATTGAACCCTATAACATTTCTTAATATCTTAACATGTTTTAGTTTGCAAAACAATGAAGATTATGACGTCTATGAAATTTTATATATTTTGGATGATGCAGATTCTTTTATTATGCAATATACTTATCATTGTAAGTCCTTTGTCATTTGACCTTTAGGATTCTACCTCAGGTACTGTTGGTATTAAATCTATATTTATGTTATAGCTAACATACATTAAAGGAGACTAAGAAATATTCTTACATTTATACAGCCACAATATTCTGCCTCATATTCAAAAATATATTTTTCACTTTTTAAAAAAAAACAATGTGTTCTTTAATGTATATGTATTAAAAATGGAATTTCAATGATGTGACATGTTTTATAATTTTGGAGTGTGTTTTATAATGTAAATGATATTAACTTTGTTTCTAGTGTATTGATGTTCTGTATTCACTGTTTTATTTAATGAGTTAGTTGTGAAAAGGCATACTTTTATAATGCATGCCTGCAAAGAGAAGGGTACTAAAAATTATTTTAATTGGTTTTTGAAGTTTAGGAACTGAAATAAAATGTTTTGGATTTGTGTTTGTTTTTACCAAATTAACTGGGTTTAATTAATATTAAAACATGTTCCCTACATAAATAAATAAAATGTGTTGAGATTTTTAAGCTTTAATATAATCATATAAGTAGAAAAATAATGGCTTCCTTCAAGTGAATTAAATTCAATTATTAAAAATGTAGCAGCCAACTAGGACGAGCTATAAATTGTCTTATTAGCTCACCTGAGCTAAAAGCTCAAGCTTTTCTGATTAAATTGTGTCTTGCCTCTGTAAGCTTTTAATATTTTCAACTTCTGCCATAGAACCTCTGGGCCATTTTCAGCAAAACTTGCCACAAGTATCTTTGGATGAAGAGTTGTTCAGTTAAAGAGAGCTGCATCCTCTTTCAAGGGGAAATTAAGAAATTCATGAAAATTTGGTGGCATCTTTTAAAAAATCTTTTTTATCAAGAACCGCTGGGGCAGAAAGGAAGAAGGTTGTATGAATTCAAAGCTTCCTGACATGGTACAGACTCAAGTTTGTTCAAATGAAGGACCCAGAGGGTAGGATGGGAGATCAAAGTTTTACATGTTAATATACAAGGAAAAATCTAAAGAACAGCAGGGTTAATGAAAATATCTTAAATAGTTTCTTTAAAACTGAGTTTTAGACACAATAAATAGTAAAGTTCATTGGGAAGGTCAAGGTAAAAAAAATGGACACAGTTGATAAATTCTCACCAAATTATGTATCAGTGCATAAGTTTATATAAACAAGATGTGTTTGTGAAACACTGATGCCCCCGTGTGGCAACTTATAGCAAAGGTTAAACTTTCTCAAATGAAAATCAAATATGTTGGTACCAAAAATAAAGTCTTGTCTCGAGGAATATACCTGTGAAATATGACAGCCCTAGAAGCAACCATTGAATAGATATGGAAAAGGTTTAAGTTTTTCAAAAGTAAGTCAAACATCAAGGTCAAATGGAAAAAAAATAATGGTGCCTAAGGAAAGGCCTTCTCACAAGAAATATACTGGTGAAATATGAAAGCTGAAGCACCAATCATTCAAAAGTTATGACAAAGGTTTAAGTTTTCCAAAAGTAGGTCAAACTCCAAGGTCAAGGTAAATGGATTACAATTGTTGGTATCCAAAGGAAGGTCTTGTCACAAGGATTACATATGTGAAGTATGAAAGCCCTAGCCCCAACGGTTCACAAGTTATGGCGAAGGTTAAAGTTTTTCAAAAATAGGTCAAACTCCAAGGTCAAAGGGTCAAAGTTGTTGGTATCCAAAGGAAGGACTTGTCAGAAGGATTACATATGTGAAGTATGAAAGCCCTAGTACCAATTGTTCAAAAGTTATGGCGAAGGTTAAAGTTTTTCAAAAGTAGGTCAAACTCCAAGGTCAAAGGGTCAAAGTTGTTGGTATCCAAAGGAAGGACTTGTCACTAGGATTACATGTGTGAAGTATGAAAGCCCTAGCACCAATTGTTCAAAAGTTAAGGCCAAGGTTAAAGATTTTCAAAACTAGGTCATTCTCCAAGGTCAAGGTCAATGGATTACAATTGTTGGTATCCCAAGGAAGGTCTTGTCACAAGGATTACATACACTGTATGTGAAATATGAAAGCCTTAGCACCAACCGTTCAAAAGTTATGGCCAATGTTAAAGTTTTTCAAAAGTAGGTCAAACTCCAAGGTCCATGTCAAAGGGTCAAAGTTGTTGGTATCCAAAGGAAGGTCTTGTCACAAGGATTACATATGTGAAGTATGAAAGCCCTAGCCCCAACTGTTCACATGTTATGGCCAAGGTTAAAGTTTTTCAATCTCCAAGGTCAAGGTCAATTGATTACAATTGTTGGTATCCGAGGGAAGGTCTTGTCACAAGGATTACATATGTGAAGTATGAAAGCCTTAGCACCAACCGTTCAAAAGTTATGGCCAATGTTAAAGTTTTTCAAAAGTAGGTCAAACTCCAAGGTCAAGGTCAAAGGGTCAAAGTTGTTGGTATCAAAAGGAAGGTCTTGTCACAAGGATTACATATGTGAAGTATGAAAGCCCTAGCTCCAACTGTTCAAAAGTTATGGTCAAGGTTAATGTTGGGTAAAATTTTGTAAAACTAGGTCAAACACCAAGGTCAAGGTCAAAAGGTCAAATATGGTGGTACCCAAAGAAAGGTCTTGTCACCAAGTATACACATGTGAAATATGAAAGCCATAGCTCCAACCAATCAAAAGTTATGGGCAATGTTAAAGTTTTTGCGGACAAACAGACAGACAGGCGGACAGGGCAAAAACTATATGCCCCCGAATCTTCGATGCGGGGGCATAAAAATATTGATAAGCTAGATAGCTCTCGCCAATATGTATCAGCATCAAAATTTCTGGAATAGTATCTTTAAAACAGAGCTAAATTGGATTAATTTTTTTTCTTCGAATTGTGGACCCTGGGGTTAAGGCGGGATACAGGTATTTGGCGGTGGGGCATCTAATATTTGAGAATTTAGAATTTAATACGAATGATGGTTCAGTAGGGTTCTGGGAAAATTGTTGACACTAGCTAAGAACATGATTACATGTATCACAAATCCAAATGTTATGATTATATATTAAACTTGGGGAGCCATAGCTAGTTTATGTTCACCTATTGTAGTGTATTAGTGAAAGTGATTCCACTTTTATGTATACTAGATGGATTAATGTCTGCGTTTAAGGTTTAGCAGTCATATGGCAGTCATAAGTGGCAATTGCTGCAAGTCAGATAGCTCAGGTGGTAGAGCACCTATTGAGAGTTCGGGAATTTAAGTCCATGTATATCTTCAAATTCTGGTCTGGCTCTAAGACCATTAGGGGACGACCATTAGATTCTGAAGGGGGCTGGCAGATTTTGGAAATAAATAATCTGTCCTTGAAAATAAATATTATCAGTCTTCCACTGGCAAGTAAATAATCTATGATTGACTAGTGCTACCCCCCCCCCCCCCCCCAATGAAATAGAGTTTGGGTGTTTCCTTTCTTTATGTCCCCGTAATCGAAGATTTGGGGGTACATGTACCGGTATATAGTTTTTGCCCAGTCTGACCGTCTGTCTGTTTGTCCGCAAAAACTTTAACATTGCCCATAACTTGTGATTGGTTGAAGCTATGGCTTTCATGTTTCACTTGCATATTCCTTGTGACAAGACCTTCCTTTGGGTTCGAACATATTTGACCTCTTGACCTTGGAGTTTGAACCACTTTTGCAAAAATTTACCCAACTTTAACCTTGGCCATAACTTTTAAACAGTAGGTGCTAAGGCTTTTATATTTCACATGACATGTGTATTTATCGTGACAAGACCTTTCCATGGGTGTAAATATTTTTGACCTTGACCTTAGAGTTTTAAAAAAAACTTTAACCGTGGCCATAACTTTTGAACAGTTAGTTCTAGTTCTTTCAAATTTTACAGGTATATTTTTTGTGACAAGACCTTCCTTTGGATACCAATAATTTTGACTTTGACCTTGGAGTTTGACCTACTTTTGAAAAACTTTAACCTAGGCCATAACTTTTGAACGGTTGGTGGTAGGGCTTTTATATTTTGCATGTTCACTAAGTATTTCTTATGACAAGATCTTCCCTTGCATACCACTAATTTTGACCCTTTGACCCTTGGAGTTTGGCCCACTTTTAGAAAACACTAACCTTGACCATAATTTTTGAATGGTTGGATCGAGCTATGGCTATCATATTTCACATGTGTATTCCTTGTGACAAGACCTTCCTTTGGGTACTAACATATTTGACCTCATGACCTTGGAGTTTAGTTGACCCACTTTTGCAAAAATTTTCCCAACTTAACCTTGGCCATAACTTTTGAACAGTTGGTGCTAAGGCTTTCATATTTCATTTGTGTATTCATCTTGACAAAACATTTTCATGGGTGTAAATATTTTTGACCTTGACATAAGAGAAGGACCCACTTTTAAAAAACTTTAATCTTGGCCATAACTTTTGAAGAGTTGGTACTAGGACTTCCAAATTTCATGGGTATATTCTTTGTGACAAGACTTTTCTTTGGATACCAACAACTTTGACCTTGATTTTGGAGTTTGACCTACTTTTGAAAAACTTTAACCTTGACCATAACTTTTGAACAGTTGGTGGTCTTTTATATTTTGCCTGCATGTGTATTTCTTATGACAAGGTCTTCCACTGCATACCATTGATTTTGACTTTGAGTTAGAGTTTGACCCACATTTAGAAAACATTAACCTTGACCATAAATGTTGAATGGTTGATGCCTGGGCTTTCATATTTACCAGGTACATGTATATATCCATTGACACAAAATAAATCCTTGGGTAACAACATTTTTATCTCTTTACCATGGAATTTATCTTGCATTTGATAACTTTAACCTTCTCGATCATCTTGGAAATAAATAATCTGTCCTTCACCGACATGAAAAAAAAAATAATCGGACTCGGAAAAGTTTGCCAGCCCCTCCCCCCCCCCCCCCCCGACCTCAGAATCAAATGGTCGTCCCCTAAACCGAGAACAGACTTAAGTCAAAATTTCAAATCAATATATTTTTGAAATAATTTTGATAATGAAACAAAATTTTCAACTTATTTTTGAATTTGAGCTAAAAATGGAATTTTTTATGCTCATACGTTGAATAGAACTCAAACAACTCGATATCTTTTAAAAATAAGCCAATGTCGATTTTAAATAAAAGTTATACATCCAGTTTATCTGTTTACTAGTTACTGGAATAATCAGCAAGTATTAGATATAGGCCTATCCCATTTTACTCAATTCTGTTACATTTTCGTTAACGAAATTACTCGGTCATTTTCTTAAACTACAATAAATAGTTTATATGTCCTTTATGAAAATGACCGAGTAGTTACGATTGCACAATCGGTTTCATTTTAGACCGAAATTCCTCGATGCCCATGAAAGGTGAGCAGCGCATCCCATGTTCGATTGACATTATTCTTTGTTTATAAACAATAATTTGCAGAACAGAAATATTTGTTACTGTATGATATCACATAT